GTGCACTTTTCGACTGTTGCCGGTGCCTCTGGGGAACAGAGGCCCTTGGGATTTTGGGGCTGCTACGTTAGATTCCGTGATTCCCCACAGGCACAACAGTCTCTCCCGGTCGCTGCCGTGGTAGAAGAAATCCCTCCAGAACTACCGGCTCCCTTTAACTGGTAGGATTTCGGTGTTTGCAGAAACGTTTGACGGTTGCTGTTTTTAATCGTCTGTCAGGCACAAGCTAGGAGGGGGCAGCGGGGAAAGCATCTTGGTGTCGCAGCTTCAGCACGGGCTGACGCTGGAATTTGAACACAGCGATTCACCTCGGCGGCTTCGTCTTGTGCTTAGCGAACTGCTGGCGATTATGAATAAGGTAAACATCTCCGCGCCCGGACACCTGTGATTTCTGTGTCGGTGAAAATGCACTCCGGCTGGGTTGGCACGCGGTCTGGTCCTGCCTGTGGGGCTGCTCTTCTGTCCCGAGTTCTTACCTGCTTCACCCTGACTTGAAGTCTCTGACTGAGCGGTGGCTTGTGATTAGGCTCCTCGTGAGCCCAGATTCCCAGAGGAAGCCTTTCCTCCTCCGAGCAGATGAGGGTACTCTTTTCTGATACGATACAATGTATTCTGTAATATGCTCTACTCAAATATAGTGGATTTTGTGATGCATCAGTTCAGAAATCGTATTTGAAAACGAAATTAGGGCTTTTGTCCATCCAGTTCATTACTCCTGCTGCAGTGTGATCTTGGGCACCGTATTTCTCTTACCCTTCTTCCTCGCACCCCCAACATTTTATGCTCGTTCTGTGAACTTAGCGCGGTTTTAGAATGTCGGTGAGCTACTTCTCTTCCTTCTGGAAAGAAGGAACGCTACAGCTCTATTGAAGTGTTCCACTAGCAAGTACTCCTTATGCTGACCGCTTTTCTTGCCTGTTCTGTGTTTATAGCGGTACGTTTTTGACAGTTTTTCATGTATTTAACCTGCTAGTTTTAAAGCCATAAAAGACCGATTAGACAAACGGTGTCATAAAACCTCTTCAGTGACGATGACTTGTGTTGCAAGGGATCTAATAACGGACTTCACGCCATGATCAATATGATTGATGTGAGCCAATTTGTTGCAGAATTACATGCCTTTTTATACACTTGTTAAATGCTTAGCGCATATGTCATCGATTATGATTGGTTCCTAGCTGATATTATTTGTTAAAACATGTAGCCTCTTTGCTAAAGGCAAGCTTTGTCCATGTAGCCTCTTTGCTGTAAGCAAGCTTTGTTCATGTAGCATCTTGCAGTTTCTGCTTGGTCAGGTGCAGCGGTTTTGTGAGCTTGGGAGTGTTCACAGTTCTTCATTCCCGAGACCTTCAGATCTTCTCGCTGTAATGTTGTTTCTTCTCTTTTATGCATTGTTCATTTTCTTCTATGCCCTGTAGTGTCCTGTTTGCTCTAGGCCGAAGCCAGGGTTGCTCAGGCTCAGAGATTCTACATGACCATAGTCCTGCAGAAAATCCTCAACAATTCCCCCTTTTTGTTTTTGAGCAACCCAGGCTGTGTTGATTGTTGTTGTTATCATCCTTTGAACCATTTGCATTCGAAATTAGGGCTTTTGTCCATCCAGTTCATTACTCCTGCTGCAGTGTGATCTTGGGCACCGTATTTCTCTTACCCTTCTTCCTCGCACCCCCAACATTTTATGCTCGTTCTGTGAACTTAGCGCGGTTTTAGAATGTCGGTGAGCTACTTCTCTTCCTTCTGGAAAGAAGGAACGCTACAGCTCTATTGAAGTGTTCCACTAGCAAGTACTCCTTATGCTGACCGCTTTTCTTGCCTGTTCTGTGTTTATAGCGGTACGTTTTTGACAGTTTTTCATGTATTTAACCTGCTAGTTTTAAAGCCATAAAAGACCGATTAGACAAACGGTGTCATAAAACCTCTTCAGTGACGATGACTCGTGTCTTGTAGGTGTCAGAATCCAATGGTGAGTTTTTTCTCAAATCTTCCGAGCTCTTCGAGAGTCCTGTTTATCTGGAGGAGGCAGCAGACGTTCTCTGCATTTTGCAAGCAGGTGTAGTATTCTGTATTTACAGTGTTTTCTAACTGATTACAGATGTTAAAAAAAAACCTTTTGGAGCCGTTGTGTCTGATTTAAGGTTAATCTTGGCTGTCTGGCTCTTCGAAAGAGAAATAGATCACAGATCCATTTTCCATTTATCGATCCGAGCGTGTTATTGCACTGCATATTAAAAGCAAGGTTTTACTTGTTTCACAGTGAAACACTGTGACTTTTCAAACTGTCGTTTTATCCAGAGCTGCCATCGCTGTTGCCAATAGTTGATGTGGCTGAAGCTCTGTTGCACATCAAAAATGGAGCCTGGTTCCTCTGCCTGCTGGTGGCCAATGTTCCCGATAGCTTTAATGAGGGTGAGTTACAGTTTTTGCTTGCCCAGCTTACTTTTTCTAGAGGTTTGAAATGGTTTCTAGCAACAAAGTTAATTCTAGGCTAAACCACTCATCACAGATATTTTAGCAGGAGAGGGTTTGGCTTATGAAACACCATTTGAGTGCATTTATACCGGGAGATGCTGATAGGCTCCCATTCTCATCATGTTGATTCCCCTTTTCTGCAGCCTACATGTGGACTCATTGTGTGCCCGTTGCAGCTTTTAGGTCACTGTTTTGAAGGCTGATTCGGGCAGCGATTGACTGGGACTACGAGCCTGGTCTGTCCTTGGCAACAGTTCTTTGCCCTCAGACTGAGCCATATTACAAGGCGGAAAATTTGCATTGACGCTGCCCGGTTAGCATCCCTTACCTCGCAGTGAGATTCCAGTCTCCAGGCTGCCAGATGCACAGGTTACGTTGTGCAGAGTACAACTAGTAATTAGATGGTGCATAAATCTGTAACGACCCTGTAATTTCTCTGGGGAGACAGACCATTTCCTTGTTCTGCTCATACAGTGTAGGCCGTGGGTTCTTGCCCGTATGAGATTTACGTGGCCCAGCTACTAAATCAGTGAAGAAAACAGCTTGGCCTGGTGTGTTTGTTTACTTACACCCCCTTTGGGGATTTAGTCTGCAGAGGTTTGATTAAGAATGGTGAGCGGCAGGATGAGGAAAGCGTTGGAGGCCGTCGCAGAACAGAAGCACTTCGCCATCTGTGTAAAATGAACCCTTCCCAGGCCCTGAGGGTCCGAGGCATGGTGGTGAGTCTGTCGTAAGCACATAGCTCTGCCTCTTACTGGAGGCTTAAAAGCCAAGAAGGTGGTTGAACCTGGGCATTTTATCTAGGTGGAGGAGTGTCATCTACCAGGTCTTGGTGTGGCTTTGACCTTGGATCACACCAAGAATGAAGCTTCAGATGATGGAGTCAGCGACCTGGTGTGTTTTGTGAGTGGTTTGCTGCTTGGAACAAACGCAAAGGTTCGAACTTGGTTTGGAACTTTTATCCGAAATGGCCAACAGGTATGAAAATTTTTAAATACTCTGCTTTTTCAAAAATATTCTTGGAGCTTTCTGTAACTCTTCTGTAACTCAACACAAATCCTGTTGCACGTCCTGGAACCACCTTTACAATGCAGCGTCTTCTTGTGGCACCACCAGGTCTATAAATAGTGTCCCTGAAGGCAGCTATTGGGTTGTTCCTCTGAGAGACTTTTAAGTAGGTGATTTCATAGGCATGGAAACCAGGGAACTGTAAGTTTGTGATGTTTACCTGACAAACGTGTTCATCCTCACATTCAGAGGAAGCTATGGGGGGACTTTTTACAAGGGCCTATAGTGACAGGACACGGGGTAACGGGTTTAAATTGAAAGTGGGGAGGTTTAGATTAGATATCAGGAAGGAGTTCTTCATGGAGAGGGTGGGGAGGCACTGGGACAGGTTGCCCAGAGAAGCTGTGGATGCCCCATCCCTGGAAGTGTCCAAGGCCAGGCTGGATGAGGCTTGGAGCAACCTGGTCTAGTGGAAGGTGTCCCTGCCCATGGCAGGGGGGTTGGAACTAGATCTTTAAGGTCCCTTCCAACCCAAACCGTTCTGTGATTCTGTGATCCTCAGTGTGCCCAACAGGTAGCTGTCTCTTGCTTAGTTGAGTGAGTTGAAGGTTGTGTTTCGATGTAATCAGCTGTTGTGATACGATTGTATGTTGCCTATTGCCCTAGTCCTCATAATTTAGAAAAAAAATCCCCCCTTCCTTTCTTCCTCGACTTCATTATTATGGAAGTTATGTAATACGTTGTTTGGTGGGATGGATTTTACATTGTTGTTCTCATCTTTTAACCTCTTACACAGAGAAAAAGAGATAATATCAGCTCTGTGCTTTGGCAAATGAGGAGGCAGCTGCTCCTGGAGCTCATGGGAATCCTTCCCACAGTTCGCAGCACACACATCGTGGAGGAAGCAGATGTTGATATGGAGCCAAATGTGTCTGTGTATTCAGGACTGAAGGAAGAGCACGTTGTGAAAGCCAGCGCGTTGTTACGTCTCTACTGTGCTTTGATGGGAATTGCTGGGCTGAAGTAATGGCTGGTTTAATGCTCTGCGGCTTTTCTTCCCCGCCTGTCCGTTTAAACAGGGGTGGAGGCTTTGGGACCTTTTCAGATGAGCTGTGCCTTAATGCCTTAATTGTGTCCTGGAAAGAGTCTTGGCGGGACTCGCCGATTTTAGGACTAGGGGAGGCCCTTCTCGCGTGCTGGGGTCTGGAGTAGCCAGCTGATGGAAGTTTCTGTAGCTTTATGGCACAGGGAGCAAATATTACGTAGTGCTAGGGTGTGCGGCGACAGGTCTGGTTTGTGCTTTCCGGTACTGTTCTCAGCAGAAAGTTGTTTTCATTCTGATGGTAAAGATCCATTTGTCAACTCTGCTGGTTTTTTAATCCAAAATAACATAAGAAACGTGGTGTGCTCTTCAGTGCTGCAAAATCAGTGCTGGTTTGTCAGAAGCAGCCTAGGCCTCCGTGGTTGGAGCAGGGTAGAAGAAAAGCAGCTGAAAACTCTAGCGACAGACACTACGTGAATTTGGAATTTCTTTTCCTTTGCTTTTACTTCCTGGAGAACGCTAATGTAGCAGCTTCATGCATGGTTAGTTTTAATTCAGGGATTTTGTACGACTAGGCAAGATTATATCCTGGGGAAGTTTCCTCACTGTTGTTATCTCTTAACAGAGATAAGTTCAAAGAGAATTGCCAGTTGATCTTGTTACTCATTTATTGATGGCAACTTGATAAACAGATTAAGTAACAGAGAAAATTTAGTCTTTAATGGTTGCAATGAGATTGGAAATCACTTCTAAATTAGCAGCGTGGGGTTTGTTCTTTTTCTGCCCTACTCAGGCCAACTGATGAAGAAGCTGAGCAGCTACTGCAGCTGATGACCAGCCGGCCTCCTGCGACTCCAGCCGGTGTTCGCTTTGTGTCTCTTTCCTTCTGTATGCTGCTGGCCTTCTCCACTCTTGTCAGGTACCTCTCAGTAAGGAAGAGCTTTGTGAAGACGTTACTGTTCCAGCACCGTTACGGCAGTGGCCTCCCCAGAGCTGCACGGTTTTTCTCTCCTCATTCCATGTACAGCTCTCCATATGTTGGTTGAAGGGATTTGTCTCACGCTCTGGTGCGTGGATTGATATTCCACTCTGCTCTCCTGGTTTATAGCCAATCTTCTGAGAGGGGAGCATCGGCATTAGCTTAGTTTGGAATGGGTTTTGAAGGCTGAGGTAGGCCTTACTAGTTCACTTCTTCACTGAACAAGTTTACGGCTAAATCCCTTTGGAGAGGGTCCCTAAGGAGGAGTGATACAGGTATTTAATGGATGCAGCCTTCTGCTCGGTGCATTCAAGACAAGACTTGCCTGACACTCAGGCTGAGGTTTGTGCTAAGTGTCAGTGCTTATCAGCTGTTTGATGTCAAAGTGAAAGTGACAAAAGGTCTCCTGGAGTAAGATGACTCAAATGTTGGCTTTTCTGCTAGTAATTGCTAATAACACTGGTAAAACTAGATCCTGATTTCTGGCAGAAGGATTTTTTATGGATTTTCTTTGTGCAGCACCCCAGAACAGGAGCAACTCATGGTAATGTGGCTCAGTTGGATGATAAAGGAAGAAGCTTACTTTGAAAGGTGAGAGCAGGCTTCTTTTGTTTTTAAGGATCCTGGTAATCTTGCATTTACTTACTTCCCGTTGGAAATTAACTCTTGCTCTTTGTTATCATTAGCATTTCTGGCGTGTCTGCTTCTTTTGGAGAGATGCTTCTCCTGGTAGCCATGTATTTCCATAGTAACCAGCTCAGTGCTATCATTGATTTGGTCTGCTCCACCTTGGGAATGAAGGTAAATCCTGAACTGTTTCTAGCACATATATTTCTCTGTTAAAATTAACTTTTTACTGTGTGTTTATATTCTTGTATTCAGTTTTGATATAAAGAACTTTGTTCTTCCTAATATACTTACTCAACTTTTTTACAACACTGATTGAAGTAGTTGCTAAACTGAGCTAAACTACTCTAAACTGAGTAGTTTCCAAACATTTTATTTTAAATAGCCTAAAGAAATATCTCTATATGTACTAATTAATATATGAAAATTACCAGGGAAGGCTTGCCTTCAATTTGTTATCGTGAAACAGTGTCTCATCAAGTGTAAAAGCTAGGTGAAAGCTAGGTGGGTAGTTTTTGGGCGAAGGAAGGTGTGAAGTCATCAACTTGTGACGTTTGCAGATAATTTTTGTTTACATCCGAAGCACAGATGTGAACGTTTTCCTGGGATCCCAGTGAATACAAGTTTAAAAAGTTTACATGTTTATAAAATAAATTTGTGGTACTTCCAGTAAGAAAGCTAGAACTTAAAATGGCAAGAACTTTGGTCTTTGTTTCAGATTGTTATTAAGCCCAGCTCACTCAGCAGAATGAAGACAATCTTCACACAGGAGATTTTCACTGAACAGGTATTTTAAGCCCAGGTTGTGGTTTTGTGTGGTTTTTTTGGTGTTTTGGGTTTTTTTTTCCCCTTTTCTTTTTTCTTTTTTCCCTTTCTTTGTTCTGCAATGGCTTCAGTTTGATCTACAGGAGGAATCCAAGACCTGCTGGTACTGAAGAACCTTGGCTCGCTCTTTCTGCACTCTGATTTTGCTTTTTGAACACTTGGCTTTTTTAAATAATGGGGAAGCAAAGGAGAAAAAATTATCCACTATGACATTATTTTTTACAGTAGCAGGAAATAATTCACAAATGCAGTACTTGTGCTACGGTTTTACACATACTGTATTAAACTACATAAAAATGTTCTTTACCTTCTAAACAACCAAAAATAAGTAAAGAAAAAAATGTAGCTATGCAACTTTGTCACCGTGTGCTTATGCATTGTGATAAGGTGAATATTGGTGGTACTTCTCTTGTTAATTAGAACTTTCCTTTAGGTTGTTACAGCCCATGCAGTTCGCGTGCCTGTTACAGGCAATCTCAGTGCCAACATTACTGGGTTTTTACCTATTCACTGCATTTACCAGCTTTTAAAAAGTCGATCATTCACCAAGCACAAAGTATCCATTAAGGTATGACCTTCATTTTATTTCTGTTCATAATTTTGAATGTTGACTAGGTTTTGCAGGCTGGATTTTGGTTGAATTACAGCAACAAAATGCTTGAAGAATCTTATAGCCCATTACCATGTAATTTAAGAAGGAACTGTGTAATAAATTGAAAATGGGGAGGTTTAGATCAGACATCAGGAAGAAGTTCTTCCCGCAGAGGGTGGGGAGGCACTGGGACAGGTTGCCCAGAGAAGCTGCGGATGCCCCATCCCTGGAAGTGTCCAAGGCCAGGTTGGATGAGGCTTGGAGCAACCTGGTCTAGTGCAAGGTGTCCCTGCCCATGGCAGAGGGTTGGAACTAGATGGGCTTTAAGGTCCCTTCCAGCCCAAACCAGTCTGTGGTTCTATGATTAGACTAGGGTGCCCAGTTTTAGCTCTAATCCAGAGACCACAACCTAGAGAACTTAAAAATAATAGAGTTATCTCTCTCCCCAGACTGTACTTAATAAAAGCATAGTCAGAATGATATTTCCAGCCAGGACAAGTTTTATTGGTGGTTTTGTACAGATCAGGGTTCAGGGGACAGTTTCTGACCAGGCCCAGGCCAGAACTGGTATTACACTTTCCAAAGTTAAAGCCTCATTCAGTTACATTTTTTGTAACTAGTTAAAAGGGAATGTACTTGCAGTCAAAAAAAATTGCCCTCCAGCTTTGAAACTGAGCGTGTAATGGCATGGTTTTTTCTAGGACTGGATCTATCGGCAGCTCTGTGAAACCACTACTCCACTCCATCCTCAGTTGCTTCCTCTCATTGACGTCTACATTAACTCTGTTCTTACTCCTGCCTCTAAATCCAACCCGGAGGCCACGAACCAGCCTGTCACAGAACAGGAGATACTGAATGTTTTTCAAGGACTCTCTGGGGTAAATGATTTGCTTCTTTCCTGCACCTCAGCGTGAACATGTGGTTCACTTTTTGTATGCACGTGTGACACAGATTCTGTGAGCTGCCTCACTTTTTGTCTTTACTGCCTGTATAGTAAACTACCCCTTGCTACCGTGATTGTCACGTGTCTTGAAGTGAATATTAGAGCTACTCAGATTCTTAGGAGGATTGGGTTTTGTCCCTGTGTTGCCCTTTTCCTTGGGAACTCACCAACTCGTGCTGTTAAAAAGGCAGAGGAGCACTTCATGACTGAAAAGTGAAGGTGTTTATGTAGGATTTGCGTAAGTTTTGTACCCACTTGATCTGTTATTGTTTAAGTGATACTATTTAACAGATGCTGTTTAAGTGATACTGTTTAACTGAAGCACTCAGCTGTTTCCCAGCGCATTTTCATTTTGACAGAGTATGATAATGGTCACTTGGATATATGTAGAATGAGTGGCAATCACTGACTTGCATTGGAGTCTTGGGATTACTCCTTATTAGTGTCCCAAAATATCAGAGACACATTATATATTTGAAGCTTATTTAAAAAAAATAAAAATAAAGAAAAATTCCCTGCAACTTTCAGCTTGGACCTCACATGGCTTGATATTTTTATTCAAGGCCTTACCTTTCTTCATATTTTCAAGTAAAACCAAAGTCTTGTTCTCAAGAATCAGGAATGCAACATGACCTTTGTCTGTGGTTTTATGTACAGGGAGAAAATACTCGTCTTGCTCAACGATACAGCATCACAACGCAATTGCTCGTCCTCTACTACGTCCTGTCGTACGAAGAAGCACTTCTGGCAAACACAAAGATACTAGGTATGCGTGAGTGCAGCAGCGTAAAACAGTATAACTGAAAATTAGATGTAAAGAGAAGAATTCTTACAATAACCAAAATTCACCTTGCTGTCAGATTCAAGCATAGCATAACAAGTTTAGATTCTTGTAATACTTACAGCATTGCTGCAGAAATTTAGTAGATCAGTTTCTTCTAAAACTCTGTAGTTGAGTAATATGTTTTCCAGATTAAAAAACGTCCAGGCTGGCCAAAAAGTTACCAGAAATGTTTATGGATATGTACAGCAATGAGTAACAAAGACTTCTTAATTACTTCAGATCTTCACTTATTCATGTGTCATCAAACTTGCTCACACATTTCTTTGGGTTGGCAATTTTATAGTTGACAGTTCTGGATGATCCCTTTTTACTTTGAAACTGAGACTTTAAATTAATTCTAAAAGCATGTTGTGTAGTTAATTTCAGTATATCTGGTGGGTGTATTTACCTGCCCTTTTTAGAGTGCAAAACTTCCAGCATTCATCAGCACTACTTTCTTCATGCTCATAAAGACAGACTGACATACTGTAAAATCAATTACAGTTCTTCCTGCCTGTATAGCTTGCACTTCACTGTAGGTGTTGTGTGTGCCAGCAGTTTGAATTCCATGTGCCAGATGATAACCAAGTAAAAAACCTTGAATAAAGAAGGTGCAGATTTGAGCTGTGATCTCACAATCAGTTGGACTTGGTCAAAGATAGTCTGGAGATCTTGTGTACAAATCTAAATGCCAGGAAAATCTTTAAGTGAAATGTTCGCAAAGGAGGTTTCCTGAAGGGCTTAATTTCATACTTTAACAGGAATGAGGTGTGTTATTTGGCATTTTCTCTGTTTTACCTGGATAATGGAGAAAAAAGTGCTTTACCTTTTCTTTGTTGATGCAGTTGGGGAAATAGTTTTTCCAACTGTAACCGTTATGCGTGGTTTCTTGTCCTGTTCCCTTACAGCTGCTATGCAGAAAAAACCCAAGTCTTACTCGTCGGCATTAATGGACCAGATTCCAATCAAGTACCTCATCCGGCAGGCACAAGGACTCCAGCAGGAACTGGGAGGTATAGCTGTGTGAAAGTCTGATGTGCACGAAGAAGGAAGGCCAAGTGCGTTTCCAGCTCTGGTTCATCGTCTGCCTTCCTTTCTTTCTGTTAAGATCTGTCAGTAGTAACCAGTGAGATTACAGATATGTTTGAGGAGTCATAGTCAAAGTCACAG